TCAAAAGTTTGTACTATGTGAATATATGAAAATAAACAAGTTTGTGCAACCATCACCACTAATTCCCAAAATCTTCATGATCCCCTCAAAAAGAAATCCCATATTTGTTCACAATTATTTCCCGTTTTCCTCCTCTACCACCACTTCGCAACCACTAATCTACTTTCTGTCTCTATGGATGTGCCTATTCTGGGTATTTCCCATAACTGGAATCATACAATATGTGACCTTTCGAATTTGGCGTGTTTTGATTAGCATGTTTTTGAGATTCACGCATGTTTTAGCATGTGTCTGTACTTCATTATTTTTCTGGTTAAATAATATTCAATTGTATGGCTACGCACTGTACTGTGTTTCTGTTTTGTAGGTTTGTTTATAGGTACATATTAGCAGTTCTATTGTATGGTGGGTCCCGGAGTCCCAGTGTTTCTGTGTCTTTGGCATCCTGAACAAAGAATTGGACAAGACACACTGAAAAGGTAGTAGAGATGTACATTTAGTGAAGGTGGAAAAGAAGTCACTCTGCAGAGTGAGAGCAGGCTGGTGAACAGGCTCACAATGGTGGTGAGGATTAGGGAAAGGGCTCTTTTGTGTGTAGAAGTCCTTGATTGGCTTCTTCCTCATTCAAATAAGATTTAGAGACTATTATCCTATCACAAACTCACTCATGTGGCCTGGTGCCAGCTTTAAACTGCCCTATTGAAACACTCTCTTGGCTTCACACCAGATATTATACAAGTTTTTGTATGAATATATATTTTCTTTTCTCATGGATATATTTTTAGGAGTAGAATTGTTGTTTCATAGGGTAACTCCATGTTTAACATTTTGAAGGATTTTCAGATAGTTTGCCAAAATGGTCAACATTTTATATTCACATTTATAAGCACATAGTTCTAATTTCTCCACATCCTCTCTTTTGTTATTTAAAAAAAAAAACAATAGAAACAGTAGTAGAAAATTTCAAAGCAATATTGTAGGACAGTAACAATGGTTAGTACATTGCATATTGTTATCTTCGAAGTAGTTGCTCACATTACAAGATAGAGGCATAAACCTTTCTTTTCAGTGAACTAATAACAATTAGGATAACTATATTAGCTATAAAATTTATTGATATTTCCTTTTCCCTTCCTTCTTTTCTCCTTTCCCCCATCCCACTTTCTCTTCCCTTTTGAACAGTTTCTTCCCATTTCAGGAAACCTATTGTACATTTTGGATCTTATTTACTCTTTCTGCTTCTTACACTAGGGAGAGAATGTGATGTTTACACATGAAGACTGATTTATGTCACTTAGAGTATGGTCTCAAGTTGCAATCATTTCCCTATAAATCTCACAAGTTTATCCTTCTTTATACCTGAGTAGTACTCCATTGTATAAAAATATCACATCTTTTTTATCCACTCCTTAGTTGATGGGCATCTGGGTTGTTTCCAAGGTTTAGCTATGACAAGTTCTGCTGTTATTAACATTGGTGCACATGCATTGCTGTGGTATGATGTTTTTAATTTTTCTGAGCAAATACCCAGAAGAGGAATTGCTGGATCGAATGGGACCTCTAATCCTAGTTTTTTAAGGAATCTCCACACAGATTTCCATAGTGATTATACCAGTGTACACTCTCGCCAACAGTGGAGAAGGGTTCTTTTTCCGCACAGCCCCGCCAGCATTTGTTGTTGGTTGATTTCTTGATGATAGCCTTTCTTTCTGGGATAAGATGGAATCTCAGTGTTGTTTTAATTTGCATTTCTCCAATGACTAGTGATATTGAACATTTTTTCATATATTTATTTGCCATTTGTATTTCTTCATCTAGAAGTGTGCGTTCATCTCAGATGTCCATTTTTGGATTGGGTCTTTGAATTTGGGATTCTGACTTTTTTCAATTCTTTATATGTTCTGGATATTAAGTCCTAAAATTTTTTCCTATCCTGTGGGTTCTCTTTTCACTCTGTTGGTGATTTCTTTTAATGTGCAGAAGCTTTTTAATAAGATGAGATCTCAGTTGTTGATGATATCCTCTCTTTTTAATGTTTTAACCATTATAACCATCCCAGTAGATGTGAAGTGGTACCTCAGTGTAGTTTTTACTTTTTTTCTCATTTTTTGTGGTGCTGGGGATTGAACCACGGTGCTTGTACATGTTGGATAAGTGCTTTACGAAGGAGCTATATCCCCAGCCTCAGTAATGAGGTTTTGGTTTGCATTTTCCTAATGATAAGTGATGTTGACCACACTTCTGTATGCTTATTATCCACATCATCTCTTCTTCCGAAAAGTAGCTTCTTAAATCCCTTTGTACATTTTTTTTTCTGGTACCACGAATCAAACTCAGGACTTTGCGCTTGCCAGCCTTTGTAAATTTTAATTGGGTTATTGTCTTCCTATTAAGTTGTAGATGTTGTTTATATAGTCTTATTCTGATATATGACTTTCAAACATTTGTTTTTTCTATTGAGTGGGTTGTTTCCACTTTCTTGACACTATCATTTGATGAACACAAGTTTTTAATTCTGATGAAGTGTTACCTAATTTTTCTTTGGTTGCTTGTTGCTTTGATGTCACATCTGTATTTTTTCTTTGAAGAATAAAACATGAGTGAAGAGGTAAGTGTTTTCTTCTCACACTTGGAATTATGTAAATGTGTTACTTTAGGCAAATATTTAAAGTCCTTTAGAGCTCCATGTCCACGTCTGTAAAAGGAAGTTTGGTTCAGCAGAGTAGGCACTATATAATTTGTGTGTATGTGTGTGTGTGTGTGTGTGTGTGTGTGTGTGTGTGTGTGAATTATTCTTCTGAAACTTCTGAAAAATTATTCTTCTGCCTCAAGTTGGCAGTTCTCAACTGAACAACTTTGCCCTTGATATAACACTTGGCAATCTCAAAGGACATTTTTGGTTGTCACGCTGTGTGAGATTCTTCCGGTTTCTAGTGGATGGAGGCCAAGGATGTTGCTAAACGTACCACAATGTATAGGATGGCCTCCACAGAAAGAATTATCCAGCCCCAAATGGCTGAGGTTGAGAAACTACTCTAAAATTAATGATTCTATTCTTCCAGTTTCCCTGACCTCCCCTGTACCAAGGAGTGAAGCCAAGGCCTTAGAAGTATTACGGCTTGTGTCTAGATATCCCCCCAAAGCCTCATATGATCAAAAGCGAGGCTTTTTCTAAAGCAGCTGGATCTAGGGTATGTGATAATGGCATTGCTTCATGGGACAATGTTAGGATCAAGGGCACTAGGATTAAGGGTGTGAGTGCTACCCACGCTAAGTAACTTGGATATGACAAAAGGGGCAGAAAGACACAGTTAAGGTCCCTTGTTGCTTTGCTACCTTCTGTCCACCATGAACTCTTCTCCTCTGTGATGCCACGCTGCCTTGGAGCCAGCCGATTATGAACTAAAACCTCTACAAACTGTGACCTAGATAAACCTTTTGTCCTTTAACTTTGGGCATCAGTTATTTTGTCTTAACAATGAGAAAAGTAACTAAGACAGCACATCCCCAGATTGCCAGCCTTGTGTTTTTCTGGTTTTCTTTTGTTTTGTTTTTAGTCAGGATCTGGCTAAGTCATTAAGTTGGCCAGCTGGTCACCAACGCTGGCTGCTCCAGCTTGAACCTCTCAGAGTGCTGGGCTTATAAAGTGTATGCCAGCATGCCCAGATTGTTCCAGTTTATTTTAAGTGGTCTTTACCTTTGTCAGTAGTAGCTAGATGGTTTTGTGTTCTTAGCCTGTTAATTGCTGAGGGAATTAGCCTAACAGGACAATAAAAGGGGGAGGTACCAATAATGGTAAAATCATTTAGCTTTTGTGGGAGGAAATAAAAATCTAACCATTTAGATTTTGTGGAAGGAAATCAAAATCTTGCAAGTCTGAAGAGTTTTAGAAGTGTTATGTGAGCTAGTTTAACTACTGTGTCCTTCAACATGGAGAAAAAAAAACCATTTTAATATAGATTCCTACAAGCAAAGCCTAGTATATGTATTCTTGCTATTGAGTCTCTTTCTGTGGGGTTTGTGGAACAAAATAGCCTTGGGAAAATAGTTTGTACATGCTATGAAGCATATCTAATCAATCATAATAGGAAATAAAACAGAACAACTTGATGGAAGGAGCTTGTAGTTGATAAATCTCTGTATCGGTGACTTGTCTGAACTCCAAGGAAGTTGATACTATTCTTCCAGCTAATCACTTTATGGTGGCTTTCTCTAATACCGTCTACCAGAGTGTACTCCTTCAACGGGAGTCCCACAGATAACCTTTTCAAAATAAAACAGATAATACCTTGAAATATATGTCAGCATTTATAAAGATCTCACGTAAAAAGCTACTATATTTGGAGGCCTTTTTTCCGTGATAACACTGCTGATTATTTTGTGGTTTGCATCATTAGATGTAATCATTACCACGAGCACTACAACTGCATCACCATCATCATGGACTACATTTTCTTGATTATGCTATATTAGGTTCTGTTCTAAGCACTTTAAATGTGTATTTATATTCTAAGTGTATATATCTATTCACAGAAATCCTATGACATAGCTTTTTAAAATTCTATTTGCAGAAAACAGAAAAAATACAATAAGTGATAAACTACTTGCTGAACCACATTAAGCATTTCCTGTGTATTAAAACTATTTCATATTTTAACAAAAATATTTTTATTGTTAAATTTGTACCAATGATGCCTCTAATTTTCTGGCACTGCAGGTAAGAGGTATTGAAGGCTGAGTTACTTCTAATTTTTGAGATTTTTAAAAATTAATTATGGACTGGGGATATAGCTCAGTGGCCCAGCACCTGCCTTGCACGTGCAAGGTCCTGAGTTTGATTCCCGGCACCAAAAAAATAAATATATAATTATTTCTTTTTCAAAAGTATTTGCGTGCACTTTGAGGCTGCTATGATAACTTCTCATCTAGGAATATTTATATAATTTTAAAAATTTATAAATAATGGAAAGGGCTTCATTTAATTTTGTTTATATCTACAGGAAGCAGTGAAAGAAAATAATAAGAGACGAGAAATGGAAGAGAAGACTAGGAGGGCAAAGCTTGCAAAAGAGAAGGCTGAACAAGAAAAGCTGGAACGTCAGAAGAAAAAGAAGCAACTCATTGATATAAACAAAGGTATGACAGTATTTTCAATTTTTTGAAAGATGCATAAAGTACAAAACAAGTTCGCTTAGTTTTGTATTATAAAGTAAATAATGTTTATTTGTAAAGAATTCATAATTTTATTACTTATTTGTGTCAGATTTCTCACACAATGTTATCTCTTGGTATTTTCGTCATCCTACACTGAGCACCCAGGAGTTTTGATAATCAGCGTAGGTGTTTCAGTATTGAAATCACCTTCTTCTCATTTACTTCATCTATTGTGTGCTGAATAAGACAGAAGTAAAGAAAGAAGACAGTGAAGTGAGAAGCTGGAGTGGGGATGAGATGTAGACCTTAATTCCACTTTGTAAGGCACGTATCTATTGACAGCACGTAACTACAGGTTGGGGGCTGGAACATTTTAAGTTGTAATAGATATTGACAGCACCATTGTTGTTCAGCTGTGAGCTGAAGTCCAATATGCTAGTATGTGCACATTAGTATAAAGTATGCTGTTTTCTAGGTTAGCAAGGGTGACTGCATATTATAAATGGGCCTTTTGGTTTGGTTTAGTTTAGTTTATGAAGAAGAAAAGGCAAAAGAAGAAAGTAATTGGTTTCCAAGTGCCTGCACTCTGAAAATTTTAGAAGCAAAAAAGCATAGTCCTTCCCACGTGAGGGTTAGAAAATTTAGAAACAAAACAAAATTTCCATAAGATACAAGGTAGTATGATTAATATTTGGACCTTTATCAATGAGAACACTTTGTAATATTTATCATATTTTAAAATATTGACCATATGCCAAGCACTACTCTATGTGTTTTAAGCCAGTCCTTACATCTCTATGAGGTAGGTCCTATTATTTCATCTTACAAATAGGAAAATGAGAGAAAGAAATTAGGAACTTGCCTAAGATCACACAAAGAGGAAGTTTCTGCACTAAGATAAAATCTAACTAATCTGGTATAGAAACTTTACACTGATCCTTGCCACTGTCAGAAATAACAACTCTCCTACAGCATTTACTATGTGTCAAGAAGTATTTTAGGATTTTTGCACTTCTAAATCCGTTTAATCCTGGTAAAACCCTATTAGGAAAGTACTACTGCCTCATTTATAAAAGAGGAAACTGAGACACAGAGAAGTTAAGTAACTTGCCCAAGGTCATAAAGCTAGTAAAAATTAAAGTCAAGATTCAAATCCAAATTGGGGATGTAGCTCAGTGGCACAAGTGCCTGCCTGGCAAGTAGAAGGTCCTCACTTCAATTCCCAGCACCAAAAAAAAAAAAAAAAGATTCAAACCCAGACAGTATGTGACCAGAGTTAATTATTAATTATTATGAGTTTTTTTTATTTTAAAGAGAGTAGTAAATGAGAAACAAACAAACAAAAAATAGAACAGTGGCAGCATACCAGTATCATGAACATAAACAAATCAAAGCAAGAACATTTAAAGTGATACAGGGTCTCAAGACAAAATAATACAGATTAACAGTGGTTGTTACATTACATACTGCCATCCTCAACTACATTGCACAGATTACCAGATGTAAGAATGAAAGATTGCTCAAACCATTAAAGAGAATAAGAAAATAATTCTTCGATAAAACATTAGAGATAATACAGAGTTTCACTAAACAAGATGGTAGGAGTTCACCATTGTAATTCCATTGCGTATTGTTACCTTCAGATCAGTTGCTCAGACCACCAGAAACAAGCATGAGTTTTAAGTTATACTAAATTATTATTAATCACTATCATATATTCTGTAATAATGTTGCTTAATGGCTAATCTTCTGAATAATATCTATATCATTAAGTTTACTCTTCATATTTAAAAAATATAAAAATTTTAAGAAATTTACTAGTTTAAAACTGGGCATGTTGGTGCTTGCCTGTAATCCCAGTCGTCTGGAGGCTGAGGCAGGAGGATTGCTGTAAGTTCAAGGCTAGCGTGGAATCCAGAGTGAGACCCTGTCTCAAAAAAACAACTAAACAAACAAAAATCCCACAAATCAGAAATGTACCATAGTTTATTTCTCCACTAGTGAATGTTTATAAACTAGACATGACTGTACTTGGGTTTGTCGGAAACATATTCACAGTAGCAGAAAAAAATGGATTGCAAAGGGAAAAGCCCAAGACAGTGCATGTTCTGAAGTTAGTATAACGTCCTGACAAGAGGTGATGAAGGCCTGAACTGACACAGTGACTCTGAAAAGATAACTGTGGTGTTAAGAAAAGGGAGCAGTAAGCCATGTATTCACGTTCTCTCTAAGAGAATTCTGGGGAAGTATTTTTTAAAACCAAACAAACAATAATCAGTGAGAAGGGCACGAATTAACGTTACAGGTCTCCTCGAAGTCTGGCTAAATTTAAAACAATTTAATTCTTATACCTGTTTCTTCATTTAATTTAATATAACCTCATGCATAGTAGCTTCTGGAAAACTCCTTAGTATACTCATAAAGCTTGAGAGTTAAAAAGCCCTCAAAAAATTTAAACTAGTTTTCATTTTGCACATACCCTGTAATGATCTTCGGGCCTTCCAAGAGTCCCTAGTTTACAGTTTGAGAACTTGTGGTATATACAGTAAAGTGAACAAGCAGTTAGAGACTGAATATCCAGTTTTATGCCAAGAACATCATTTTTCTCCCACACCACAACGATGTCTACTCTCACTCAAGTATTTATCAGCCTTTCTCTATTTCCCTACAAGACAAGTATAATAGGAAAGAAAAGAAGGAAAGGACCTATTTTAGTTGTCTATAATACTGTATTTTCATTTGCCAATATTTGGTTAATTACTTCTTCCAGTGATAAATATCCAAATACATTTTTGTGCATATGCTTAACTGAGTGATTTGAACATGAAAGACATATTTTATTATTGTTTATTCATTGTTACCATAGCTCTGTTTACAGATCAATAAATTGGTCAACATCAATGTTAGCTTCTTGACTTGTGGTCTATGTGTTGCAAATATATATTATTATTTATTATAATATTGCTTTATACTTTGAGTATATGTGTAGTAGTACTCTCAGTATGTTTCAAAAAGGAATCCCTCTAAGATTAGAAATGTGTAGCCTAAATGAAGAAGATGGAAGGGTGGCAACAAGGAAAGAAGAAAGAATAGAGATAGATGTCGAGATGAAACCCAGTGCTCATTTCTCAGTGACTAACGGAAGATGTTGTTGACCAGGTGGAAATGAAAATTGCAGGCATTTGAAAAGAGCTGGAGGAAGCACAGTAGAGACATAATATGTGAGTCAGTGAGATGCGAGAGCCTATGGGAGACATGAATGAGGTGTGGTTAGAAAATGACTTAGAGAACTTTAAATATGTCCAGTAAAAAGGTTGTGACCTTCCTTTTTGCTAAAAGAAATAATACAGAATTTTTGATTGCCTTTGTGGGATATGTTGTATAGACTGTAGCAGTATTTCATGCATACGTAATAGGGAAGCGTAGTAAAGGAATCAAAGAATTTTACCTATAATCAAGTGTTAAATGAGAAGATCCTTAGATAAAGTAAGTCACATTGGAAATTACATTTTCTTACATTATATACATGTGTGGCCTTATCACACTTTTCCCCCTTATTATGTATAATTACTATTCATTACTCAACAATTTAAAACTGTTGAAAGACATGTAAATACTAATTATCCTTATTTGATCATTACATACAGTATACATGTATTGGATTATCACACTGTATTCTGTAAATACATATACTTAAAATAATAAATGAATTTTAAATGAGCTAACCACAAAAAAAGTTCAGGCAGCCTTTCTGTAGTGTCTATTTCAAGTCATCTTAGCAAAACGACAAACCCTCTCCCCTGTTTTTAAAACTTTCTGTGATTTCATATAGCTACTAGGTAACAATATAAGATGCATTTATCTGGCATTCAAAGTTATATACATTTGTCAAGGAGAATTATTTTGTAATTTGATTATTCAGAAGAATAATAGGAGAAAGCAAAAGAAAAGATTATTTCCCTAATGTAGATGTGATCAAGTGAGCTCAGAATTAAGTAAAGATATATGGAAAAACCAAACAGCTAGAGAATTATGTCTTTCAAGTTAAATCTTAAAAACCCCCATGTCCCAAAGCTCCATTTTGAAAGAATTGGAAATCAGAAGGCAAAAGCCATGATAAGGAACAGTACTTTTTTAATTATACAGGAGAAAATAGGATGATTATATGTTAAAGAGACAGTCATTTTGTGAACGTGATTAAAAAATTATTATGTTTAAAGAGTGAAAATCCTTATTGGCTATGCCACCTAGCTTTATGACTGGATTCTCTTCCTTTATCTCTTCATGCCTCAGTTTCCTCATCTGTATTGTAGGATAATGACATTTACCTACTATAGTTTTAATGAAGATGGAATAAGATAAGTAAGTACAGTGCATGCCACAGGGCCTAGAATGTACTTGCTGCTAGTTCTGGTTAGTCGTTTTATGCTGATTGTAGAATTTAGTGAAAGCTCAAGAAACAATCCTCACCCTGAAGAAGTTTTCAGTTTTATTACAGAGATTAAATAAAGCTGGAACAACAGAGAGTAAACTGTATACTGATGTAAAATAGAGATTGGTCTTTAGAATTATTTAAAGAGAAAATCAATTAGTCTGGTGAAATGAAGTAAAGTTTCCTGTCTGTGGACATATCAGTCATACATGATCTAAAAGATGGGGAGGGAATATTTGGTTGAATAGAGACAAAAGTATTCATGTAAAAAGGAAGAGGGTCAACAACAGTGCCCATCGGCTGTAAGGAGGCAGGACTTAGTTGTGCTAGGTTTAATAGCCCAGGGAAGATAAATTGAAATAAGGTGGTGTGTCTTAAATTGAAGGCCTTGTTCCACAGTTTACTAGCCATAAAATCTCTGACAAGGTATTGCATATTTCTATACCTGAATTTCCTCATCTATAAAATGGAATGATATTAATACCTGCTTTGTTACTGTGAGGGCTCTAGGAGATAGCCATGAAAATGTCAGAGGCTGGTGTTATTTATA